GTAGCGTCGTCTTCAACGTTTTTATTTCACGCGATACTGACTATGGGCCAAGAAGAGCCTAGCTCACCTTCGATGTAAGCTTTCCGAGTGATTTTTTCGCCGTTCCATCCGAGACATTATGTCGTCGCGCTTTCTGCACTACACTGTTTTGTGACATCGACCAGCAGAACTTCTGCATAGCAACCTAGAAATAACGATAGGATCACGTGGGGTAGAACAGGGCAAAGGTAGTTTGGGGGTGCCAGGCGGTAGGGCACTGTTTCACGTCTTGTCCTGTTTTGCCACGCCATTCCGAAGCATTAGAATGGGTACATGTCTGTTTGGCTGTCTTTCCTGTCTGTTTGGCGAGAGGGGGAGCAGACAGGCGCATATTGAGAGGTGCAGTTGTATTCTCTCCCCTCCTCCTCCCAAGGGGCAAGGGTGGCGGGGGGGGGGGAATGGGTGCACGCACAATCCAAGAACAATCTTTAACTGAGCAGAGGAACTCCCCTTCCATGGAGGTAGCGTAGCTCACCATGCGCATGTTATGCTTTCTCACCACATGCCCGTATGAGGGGGGAGGGGCATTAGGCAGACCAAAAATGAAGAAAAAAGGAAACTGACGAGATAATCTTGCTGAGGTCCAATGACACTTCCTGGTCGACATATCCGAAGCCAAGCCATGCATTCAGCGGCATTCAGCCCGAATTCCTTCATCATCCAACATGCAATAAGAGTTCCTGTCCTCCCGAGACCTGCATTACTATGCCTTTTATAAAGTCCTGCGCATTAGCAAAAGGATGTAGAGCACCCACCAGCCTTACAGTGCACAGCAACGGCTCCTTTAGAATTATCGACTACCCGTATAAAGTTTTCGACGATTTTTTCCGATGGAGTGCTGCCGTCGATGAAAAACAAATCCACGTGGTCAAACCCGGCATCAGTGAACCTGAAAAAAAATAGGTGGGGACACTAAACATTGACAGAAACACAAACAAAGAAAACCGGATGTACTAGATGATCCCGCGGTGCTAAATAGCCCACTATAACTCTGTGGAGGACTCATTAACAAAAAAACAGTGCTAAGCCTGGCGCAGCTGGTGTAGTACATTTCGATGGCGCAGTGGAACGCATTTGGTAGCGCTTTCGCTATCCTCTCACTAGGGTAGTGCCAGAATTCTTATCAAGATCAAAGCACGTCCTGGCGCTGGAGAGATTTTCTACTGATACGACCCCAAATGTTCTTCTCTGCTACGACCCCCCCCCCCTCGACCGAGTCTTATAAAGATTTCCCCAATTTTGCAAATGAGCGTGAGACAGGAAGGGCAGAAACCTCTATTCAGCTATCAGGAAAAAAAAGGTTCTACGGCGGTGCCAGGTAAGGACACAAGCGAAGAGGAAGGCGGGAGGCAGTTATATTACGCGTGAAGAAGGAAAAATTAACAAGGAAACCTTCCAGGACAAATATGACTACCTTCTACCACCTAACAAGTACGCCCAGGAATCCCGACGTACGTGTCCTGAGTAAGATTCCTTTTGTATCTCGTTGTAAGCTCGGCATGACGTCGAATTTTACCTAGTTCTGCCAAACGAGGTCTTTGAACAAGATATTTTGTAGGCTTCACGTATCAACCCTCTTGTCTTCTTAAGAAGCTGAAGGTTCCACCGAGCATAGCGTAGTTCAGCTGGTGCGACCTCGATTAGCAGAAGTACTCAAAAATCTTACCGATATTTTTGAAAAGAAGGTGGGGTAGAGGCAAGTGTCACGCTTACCACGCGCGCGGTCCGAGGATCAAATTCAGATGAGCTCCCGCTCAGACCAACCAAGCCATCTATCCCTCGGGCGGTAATTGGTACCAGTTTCCTCTGAGGGAGAAAAAATTGTGAACTCACTTCTTCGCATCATACATTCTCATATTCAATCGTACAATTGTTGTGACATTGGTGGCACGGAAATAGTCAAAATATGTCTCAGGAGAGTGATAAGGATATCCTGAAAATAAGAAATGGCAACTGTACAGAAGTATCAACCCTTTTCCTTGGCCTAGATTTGAATCTAAATTTGCCGCTAAGCATAGATTTGGCTATGAGTCAGCGTCGAGGAGGGTGGACAGCTGGCATGACCCACGAGCACGATCAGGTCGTAATAGGCGCCAGTTCCATCACCTGTTTTGTCGCCGACGCCTGTAGGGAGTCAACAGCAAGACAAACAGGTGGACTCGGCGCTTGCAATGACAGGCCCTGTATTTTCGCGCCCCACCAACAGATGTTCCAGCTCAGGAGGTGGAAACACCCCTGGGAGCAAATTTCTAGACATAAATCTGTTCTCACTGACTAATTTTAATAAGAATCCAGACTGGCTACCGTAAGAAAAGCCCTCTAAAGAATAAATACGGTCCATATAGGGATGTGTTTATACTTTGCGCCAGACTCTGAGCATACTGTAGGGCTTCGAGCGTTCAGCTACAGCCCGCGAAACGCTAAAAACGCTGACGTATTATACATTCAGGAAGTCTGATCGATATCTATACATTTCTGGTCACTTTAGAAGCTGACACAAAGTACGAACCCGCCTTAAGAATCGTATCGGCAGAAGGTAAATCTTTGTGAAAGTTACGGCATAAAAGCTTACCATCTTCTATACGAGATTCATTGTGTGGGCCACAAAAGCTAAGAATTTTCCCAGGAATAATCCAATTCATATCACCATTCTCTACACGTTCATAAAGTTCGTATTCCTCTGCATCAAAAGACGTAATATCGAACCATTTCAAATTTATGGCCTTAACAAATGAAAATAAAAAACAAATAGAAAAATAAAAATATACGCACAAAATGAAACAAAAAAGAAAGGGCTCAGTAGTCAAACCTACTACCTTTTCAACGGCTCGAAGCACGTCGTGCAAGTGAAGCAGATAAGTCGGTTCACCGAGTGCTGCATCGCGGAAGCCAATAAACTTGGGAGGTTGAGCTGTCTCTAAGCGCAGATAAGCCGCATCAGCGGACACCCCTTGGTATATGATCTGAATGAATACTCAATTTTCTAAGCAACGCTCAAACCAAGCTGGTGGCGCTCTACAATTCTGATCTAATCTCGTAAGATAACAATTAATTTCAACTCTCATAGCGAAGAAAAAGCCGAGAACGAAGCTTTTCAGATAAAAGAGCACATCAACCGCCCAGGTCATGCGCTTAAAAGGGAGGAAAGGACGGAGATCTCAACCCTGGATTTCTGCCTTACCCGCTGAACATCTTGCTTTCTGGGCACGTCCTGCCGATGCAAAATACGATCTCCGGAAGTTACTCCTCTGGTACGACCCCTATTTCCACATCTCCCATCCTACCCGCCATCTTACTAAATTTTCCTCCCAACTT